ACTCAGAAGTCAGGTAATGCAGTCTATTAATGACAAAAGGGATAATGAACCGATGATAATGAGGTTAGAAAGTATATAATTCATTGGCGTCATCTGATCCTCGGGCACATTTACACACACATGCAAACACACAAACACACACACACACACACACAGCAAACACACACACACACACACCAACAAACAAACACAAAGTCACAAATTCCCCTTTTATTCAGCCCGTTTTACCCTTCCATGGAATCCAACGAAACTGAAAAAAAGAGAAAAGTACAAAAAGCGGAAAAAATTCACAGCCTAGCACGGCCGCCCCGCGTTACACGGGAAAAAATCCTGCGGAACCCTTTCGGAATGGAGCGTCGAGCGGCGTTTCGCGTCCAGCCCCGTTCCGCCCCGATGACTCGCTGACCAGGAACGCGCCTCACCCCATACGACCATCAATCTCAGACAAAGGCGAGCCAAAAGCATTTCTCGATTCCCCTTCCCTTGCTTCCCCTCCTCCTCCTCTACTTCCACTTCCCTTTCCTCTCTCTTTACACTGACCTCCCCTACTGGTCTCCCTTCCTCCACCTTCTCTCATTCCTCCTCCTCCATCTCCATCACTCTTCTCCTCAAACTTCCCTCCCCATTCCTCTACTTCTCTCATCATCCTCACCTTCTTTCCGTCTTCCTCCACCTCTACCTCCCTCCGACCAACACCCTCCACGACTCCATCTCCCGCGAGTCCCCGGACAAGAGGACCAGAAAAGTCCCGCCGCCATTTCCATCCTCGCACCAAAAGCCAGCGAATCTCCGGGCCACGACTGACTGACCGGAGGCCGGGTCGCAACGCCCCGCCGCGGTTTTCGGTGATGGTTGTAAGCAGAAAAAGGAGGCAGGAAAAGACACGGCAGAAAAGATAAAGATAAAGAACGAAAGAGAGAGAGAGAGAGAGAGAGAGAGAGAGAGAGAGAGAGAGAGAGAGAGAGAGGGAGGGAGAGGGAGAGGGAGAGAGGGAGGGAGAGAGGGGAGAGAGAGAGAGAGAGAGAGAGAGAGAGAGAGAGAGAGAGAGAGAGAGAGAGAGAGAGAGAGAGAGAGAGAGAGAGAGAGAGAGAGAGAGAATGAGAGAGGAGATGAGAGTGAGTGAGAGTGCGCGTGTGTGTATGGGGGGGGGGGGGCTGAGCGTGCGTGTGCGTGCACGTATGTCCTATGTGTGTTTGCGTGTTTCTGTGTGAGGATATCCGGAAGGTTGGCGGCAAGAATAAGAATTTACGAATAACCGAGACATCAACACTCCCGCAGTCTTCTAACACGCTCCCCTAATCGGTCTACCGAAGTTCGAGCCCATTTTCCCGGCGCCTTTCTCGCTTCGGATAGAAACTAGCTCGCTCTACTTCTCACTCGCTGGACGTGTCCATCAAAAACTCTTTCCGCCAAAACTTTGTACAGTATGAATTCAGCCTTAATCCCACTATGTCATGCTAGATAAGCCTTAATCTCTGTCGGAGAACTAATTCAATGGGGGGATTCTCCACGCTCCCGGAGACTCCCTCTCGCCTGCCACTTTCTCTTGCCTAATTATTACGATAGAAAGATTTTTTTTTTAATCTCCCGTTTCCACATATACACACCCCCTCTTTCTCTTACACTCTCTCCCACTCTCCCTTTCTTCCTCCTTCCCAAATCCTATAGTTCTTTTATATGTTCCTATCTCTCTCTCTCTCTTGTGTGTGTGTGTGTGTGTCTGTGCGTGTGCGTGCGTGTGTTCTGTGTTTTTATGTATGTGTGCGTTTGCTATAAACATAGAAACATTTAATAAAATGGAGGACAGACATGTATACTGTATCTGTTTCTGTATGTGTTTACAAGACCTGAAGAGAATTTTCTTTCGTGCGCTATAGATAGAAAGGACATTTCACCGACAAACAAATGTGGAACAGAAAATCAAAAACAAGAAATTAGATCTAAAAAAAAAAACACCGACGAACAGAGAAAAGGCTCCCCCCCCCCCCCCAGCCCCCTTTCCCCGTGGCAGCCGCCGCCGAGAGCGAGCGAGAGAGCCTTCGCGCGCCCCGGCAACCCTCGGCTAAGCGGAGCGCGAAAAATAGCTCCGTCACGAAAATTCTCGCGAAAACCTGTGCCCGAAAGCAATCGCATCCCATCATTAACTTTTCCCAGTCAGCATCAGTCAGCATGCCCGGCACGCCCTCCTGTCTTCGGGGGAGCCCATGTGCAAATCGCGCGCGCCGGAAGCCGTCCGCGCTCCACTTCGCAATCTTGTTATCTGGCAGTAAAACCTGTCAACATAGTTTTCCCTTGCAGGCTACTGCTCATTAGTAAAAAAAGAAGGGAAAAAACACAGAGAAGAAAAAAAAAATATATAAATATATACGTACACACACACACACACACACACACACACACACACACACACACATATATATATATATATGTGTATGTATGAACAAATGGTGGTGGCGGTTGAATACTTTTGAAGCGTCGACAAGGTGATAATACCGTGTATACATTGCAATATCTCGAAATTGCATTTCACAAATACTTTAATCTAAACATTTATCTGGGAATTGAGTTCAGACACTGAAATATTAATTGCCCGCTGAACACAGAACCATTAACCGAACTGCAAGCATACAGAGAAAAATTAATGGTAAGCAAACTAAAGTGTCCGATTTAATTAAAATCAAAATCAAAACAATAAACAATTTTACATGTGATTTCCTTACATATTCATATCATTATTACTCATTCCATCCTTTCATGAATTATTTGTTTCTAAAGTATCTACTTCATCATACCTCATGTTACTCCATAAGTTATTTATCTTAAGAATCAATCTTTCCAACATCAATCGGATTCGCCAATGTCATCCATCAAGACAAGGGCTTTTTGTCCGCCATTTGTTGCCGGTTTGTCTTCCCTTTGTCGATTCTCTTTCATTTTCTATCCGACTTCTCGTTTATCATAATCAGCACCAGTTGTATTTTCTCTCTCTTCCCTGTTTGTATCTGATTTTCTTTCGAACAATGCGCTGCCTGTTTCTTTCTCCTTCCTTCTTCGCCATTTGCAACAAATTAATTCCTCTTGTTCCATCTCTCACTTATTTTCATTCTCCTTACTTTCACCATCATTTCTTTTATGTATCTCATCATTATACATAACACGATCCTCACGAGAGGTAACACCATACTCACCATAAACAAACCAATTCCATCATCATACCCTCCCCCCAAAAAAAAAAAAAATATATATATATATCAGCTTACCTCCTCCTTCCTACTCCAACCTCATTATCCTCTCTTGCTTCTCTCCCCTTCGTTCCTTGGGGCTGAAGACATAATGTCGATAGAAGACATAATTTCGAAAAACAGGCTGAGGAGGTGGAGAGGGACGAGGAGGAGGATCTGGTTAGGAGGAAGAAGAACAGAATGATGTTAATGGTGATGAGGAGGAAGAAGAGGGATAGGGATAAGGAAGAGGAGTGCTAAGAAGGAAGTACATGTGAAGGGAGACCAGAGAGATATGAAAACAGAAAACAAAAGGATATATTGATGAAAGAAGGAGAAAAAAAAATAAAAAAATAAAAAAGGGACTAAAGCAAGAAGTTGTGGACCGCTTGGAAGGCTGAATTTTCTCCCTGCCAATGGTATCGGCGCTGTCATACGGCCTGTGAAAGGACACGGCGCTCTGGAGTAGCCTTGTACAAACACTGTTGACTGAGCGACGGTGCACATCAAACACGGCGGTTGCCTCACTGTTGATTCGCCTCACATTGCTCACGCTGGATAAATCTCAGCTTCATTTTCCCCTAAACTTAAGGTATTTCGTTAGCATCAAAATGTTTTAATCTCTGACACACACATACACAGACATACACAAACACACACACACACATGTACATATATATAATATATATAATACATATATATATATATATATATATATATATATATATATATATATATATATATATATATATATATATATAAGCCAGTTAGAAAATGGAATTAGTATCAGTATGTTTCCTCTACTATGAGATACCCATGTGACCCACCCCAACAGTATTTACGTGATATCTTTCGCTGAACGTGAGTTATCATCCTAGAAGAAAGTGTAAATTGTTTTCGCTTATTATTGACATATTTCCCACTCGTGTCTCTCCTTGACATTGCGGTCGTGCAACTGGTCTTCTTCCAAAGGAAAATTCGCCAGCTTTCAAACGAGAAAGTCATCGTGACCGATATTTTTGCCCCTGAACAATACACTTCTACTTTCCGTTAGTAGGTTTGCTTATCACTACCCCCACCCACCTCCCGCTTCCCTTCCTCCCTGCCTATCTCTCTCGCTCCTCTCCCTTTCTCTGTCTCTCTTTTTCTTTCTTTCTTTCTCTCTCTCTTTCTTACTTTCTTTGGCTCTCTCTCTGTCTCTCTTTCTCCCCCTCCTCTCTCTCTCTCTCTCTCTCTCTTACTTTCTCCTTTCGTCTCTTTCTTTCTTCCTCTCCTCCTCCCTCCTCTCTCTCTCTCCTCGCTTCTCCTCCCTCTCAACCCGCTCTCCCTCTCTCTCTTATCGCCTCTTTCTCTCTCTCGCTCCCCGCCTTTTCCCACTTTCTCTCTTCCCCCACCCCACTCTCTCTCATCGCTTCTTCTCTCCTCTCTCTCTCTTATCGCCTCTTTGTCTCTCTCTCGCTCCCACCTCTTTCCTCTTTCTCTCTTCTCCACCCCTCTCTCATCGCTTCTTCTTCTCTCTCTCTCTCTCTCTCTCTTTCGCCTCTTCCTCTCTCTCTTCCCGCCTCTTCCCTCTTTCTTTCTCCCCCCACCTCTCGGTCTGTCTCTGTCTGTCTGTCTCCACCTCCCCTAGAAACGTTCTGCGATAAAGCAATGTCACGACAGATTAATTGAGGGGTGGGGCACCGGGGACGGCAGGGAGGGGAAGCAGGGGAGGGGGGGTACCGCGAAGTCTCCAGTCAGTGTATATAAGGAGGCAACGGCGGCTGTTGGGGTACCATTCGCACATCCTCGTCTCAGCGTGTTCACACCTTACAGACATCAGCAATATGTTCTCCAAGGTTCTGCATACGGAATTATTATTCGATTTGAAGAATATGTGAAGAAAAATCTTTGGTGGTAGTGAACGTATATATGAATTCATGCATGTGTGTCCTGTTAAAGTATTAATTTATGTATGCATGGATGTATGTATGAATAAATGTTTTTATGTATGCGTAAATATGAATGTACTTGTGTATGTACGCATGTGTACATACGGATGTATGTATATATATATGTATGTGTGTATATGCTTATGTATATATCAAAATATGTAGACAAAAGCATATTTCAGAAACGTTTATATCATTTTATTTCTTTTATGCACTTAATAATTTTCTTTCTAGGTAACGTTACTCATGGCCGTGGCGGGAGTAGCCCTGGCCTTCCCCTCGGACCCCTATGGCCCCCCTCCCCATCAGCCTGTATACAAGGAGGTCAGTATATGATGTGGCATACAACCTTCAATATACGCATCATGAAAACATAATCAAAGGAACTGCCAGAGCACTAAATGATCTTTCCCTCTTTCGATAGGATCCCATCCCGTACAATTACGCTTACGCCATCAACGACCAATACGCCGGCGCCGACTTCGGCCACAACGAGGACTCGGACGGCAAGACGGTCAAGGGATCCTACACCGTCCAGCTCCCTGATGGACGGAAGCAGACGGTAACCTTTTTTTTACGTTTCATACTGATTTCTCCCATGTTTCATCTTATATTCCCATATTTTGCTATTGTTATCCATTTTGTTGTGTTTTGCGTGTGTTTAATTTCCACATTTGCCCTTCTACAGGTAAACTACGTGGCTGACCACTACAACGGCTACCAGGCTGAGGTCAACTACTACGGCGAGGCTCAGTACCCCCACGAGTACGGTCCCCCCATCACCTTCAAGCCCCAGGCCTACCATCCCCACCCTCATACCAGCCCAGCCACAGCCCTCATACCAGCCCCAGCCACAGCCCTCATACCAGCCCCAGCCCCAGCCCTCATACCAGCCCCAGCCCAGCCCTCATACCAGCCCCAGCCTCAGCCCTCATACCAGCCACAACCATCATACCAGTAGTCCATCGATTGTCCATGTCACTGTTCCTTTTGTTCCTAGTCACTGTTATATTTTGCAAGTAAATAAAAAAAATCTGCTAAAACTGTGATATTCTTATTGTCTTCTTGGGCACTAAAACATCCAAGACGATTTCCATTTGACTAAAGACGATGCTTCTGGATAATAAAGTAAATCAACACTCGCCACTAATAATCTCATAAAATGTCTATACCGAAACGCTCATCAAAAGATTTGCATTGGATAAACTGCATAATAATTACACTGGCTCCGTACAGCAATTAAAAACCATGAATAATTCGCACGCTTAACATTTTCACCAAAACAAAAAACTGGCAACATATAAAAAATAAACAAGCACTGAAAAAAATGTATAATCATCAAAATTATGGAATAAAATATGCACCAGATGTCCCCAAAATACAGTATAGTTGAAACAGAGTCTCCAAAATATAGTCATCAGCCTCAAGGTTCTCTGACCATAATTACCAGAAAATGCACGCAGATTACAATATTTCAGACGCAAGCATAACGTGTCACGGTCTTTTCTTGCCCGAGAAACACAGTATAATGTGCTCTAAATAGCAGTGTACACTAAATGACAAATGACTTTAGATGCTAATATGGCAGAATGAAGTCTCTGATTGCTTGGTGGATTAAATCCGAAATACATTCATGTTGAATACTATTATGATTTTTTTCTTTATTAAAAAAGAAAGATGCATTTAAGAAGACCTGTTACATATACAGGAAAAATCCTGTTCTCTTAAATTTCTTTTTTAATGGATCATAGCAAAATCATAGGTATAAATTTCAAACAGAAAAATTTCAGGAGCCTGAATATACGGTTCATATAGCAGGTACTCATGTGTGCCTTTATATATATTATGTATGTATGTGTATATATGTATATGTATATATATATATATACATATATATATATATTATATATATATATATATATATATATATATATATATATATATATATATATATATACATATATATGTATATATATATATATATACACATTATGTATACACATATATACATATATATGTATATATATACACCGCCGTTGCAAGAGACTTGCAAGACGGCCAGTGCATTATTCCATCTTTCATTGAATATCGATACTTTTGATAATTTCAATACATAAGAGCCACAGCTAATGCGATTATCTATAGTTATAAATCAAGATATATTCCTATTCAATGGCCTCCCCCTCCATATACATGCATAAATTCTGTACTTGTTTATGTAGAATACTTTGTTACAGATATATATATAGTTCTCCTACTTTCACAGCTGGTGTTTCAAACTTTCAAGTAGACGTCGTTACCGCCTTCCTTCGCAAATATTTACAATTACTCAGTTCAAATGTCAAAAAAGAAACGAATTGGTCATAAACTAATTTGAAGAAACAGGAAAAAAACGCTGAATACTGACCTACTTGTGAATACTTTAGAATGCACTTTACACTTTCAGTCATACTCAATTACCCATAGGAAGTCAGGGCATATTTGGAGGGGATTCTGAAGGTTATCTTTTTTGGTAGAAATTGTTTGCTAATATATATATATATATATATATAAATATATATATTATATATATATATATATATATATATATATATATATATATAATAGATCGCTCTTGCTCATATATATCTATCTACCTATCTACACACACACACACACACACACACACACACACATATATATATATATATATATATATATATATATATATATATATTATATATATATATATATATAGATATATATGTAAACATCTCTTTCTATCTATCAATCTATCAGTCTATCTATATATATACTAATTAACGCACCTGAATAATCTAATAACGAAACACCAGTTTCACTTTTCATAAGATTACTTTATCAAAACTTGTTCTCGAAACAACAGGCAGTAACTCATACAAAGAGATATGAGGTTTCTATCATTTTCTAACTTGGATCCAATTCCTTTCTCCCATAAATAACTTTCATCGAGGGGGATCAGCTACTTAATCTAATGCCCCGTGGAATCCAGCGGTCTCGGACAGATGGCCAACGCTCGGTGCCAATGACTCAGCACTTTCCAGACTTCTCCCCTCACACAACGGGAGACGCGTGCTGTTGACTTGCCCCTTAGATCAAATGGGTGACGCAATGCCCTTAACGAGAAGAAATTATGCGAGAAGAATTAGGAGAAGGAAGGAGGGGGTGGGGGTGGAGGAGAAAGGGTGAGAAGGGGGGGGGGGAGGTATCCGTAACGACGTCAGATGGTGTGTATATAAGGTGGCAGCGACGGCCTCCGAATACCATTCTCTCCTCGTCGTCCACGCAAGGTGTACAATTCCCTAATAGGATCACGATGCTTTCGAGGGTAATTCTCAAGTTGCAGTTTGAGTGTTAGGCTGGCCGTGGTGTGCGCAAACGGGCATTTTCTTGTGCGCAAACGGGCATTTTCTTGTAAATGTGAGAGAGCTTGTCCACAAAAAACAGTGCGAAAAGAAATGGAAATATATATATATATATAATATATATATATATATATATATATATATATATATATATATATATATATATATATATGTGTGTGTGTGTGTATGTATATATGGGTATATATATACACGCACATTATATATAAATACATACACACGT